TCTTCAGGGGGTGCACGGTGGCGTAGTACCTGCGGGGAGAGACACGGGGGAGCCCGAGCCCCAGAGCATTGCCCAGGGAACCCAAGCCCCCCCACCCCGGCAGCCCAGGAGCAGGGCGGGTAAATGGGCTAAAACCGTCCATTTGTGATAAATCCCCAATGACGTTTTACAAACACGCTAAGGACCATATAACTTAGTGGCTGCCTGTTTAGCAGGAGAAACAAGCCAAATTTTCACGCATGTCCCCCCCAAAAGGGCTTCACTGAAGAGCAACAGAGGAACACCTGCACTCCTGGGGGATTTCAAGCCCCCGGCGAGGGTAGCACAGATCCACCAGCAGCCCAGGCTTTCTCAGCTACTCCTCTCAAATCTTCCTTTTGTTTTTTGGAGGTTTGGGTTTGGTTTTTTCCCTCATGGTCCTGCCCTGCTCTCCCCCAGGGCAGAGGCAAACCAGTACGAGAGGTGTTCTCAGCGCTGCTAACATCACGCCTGTCCCCACAGGGTTTGGAGCATCCTTTACGAAGGACGTCTCTATGGAAACATGGTTGTATAATCCTCTCCCCTCTGCCATCAGACCCTGCCCAACACGCTCGAGGAGGTGCAAGTGCTCCCCACCCAGGAGCCAGAACAAGGCGTGATTCAACTGCAAATTTATCCAGCAAGGTACGAAGAAATGGGTGCAAATTCCACGAGCCCTCGCACAAGAGCCACAGCTGCAGGAGCACAGACCTGGCCACCGGCAGATTAGATTCCAACAGAGATTACTCCATCCAGGCAAGCAAGAAACATCATCATTCCCCGAGGCAAACCCACTGCGTTTTCTCCACACAAGTCTAAGTCCTGATGCTAAAGAAAAGGCTCCAGAGACATTGCAAATGTCCCCTTGGATTTTCCCTTTCCTGGTTTTGAGTGTTCAGCAGTTAGACCCCAAGCCGAGCGAGCAACAGCTTGATGGGACTAGAGGGAGACCCAGACCTCCAAGCCCTCTGCCCTGCCGGCGCTTACCTGTCAACCGCGATGGCCGTGAGCGTGAAAACAGAGACGTAGACAGTCATGGGCTGCATCAGGAAGACAAAGTAGCACAAAAACTTCCCGAAAACCCAGCCCTGGGGGTTGAAGGCGTAGGCCAGGGTGAAGGGCACGCACGTGGCGCACATCAGCATGTCGGAGAACGCCAGGTTCCCGATGAAGAAGTTGGTGATGTTGTGCATCTTCTTGGTCTTGCAGATGACGTAGAGGAGCAGGTAGTTGCCGAAGATGCCGATGAGGACGACCAGAGCGTAGCAGGGGATGATGAGGGGTTTGAAGGACTGGATGAGCTGCACCCCGGTGAACTGTGTGCTGGCGTTGGAGTGGTTCTGCAGGGAGAGCTCGTAGATGGTGGCGTTGGCCCTGGCCCCGTCGCTCTCCATGGCTGTGGCTGAGCTCCTCTACTCGTGGGCAGGTGAGAAAACCCTTGTCTTGGCCAACCTCAGCACCTCAAAACCCAGGGGTCATGAGTTTCAGGTGTCCACGGGGCACATCCTGCTCCTCGTCACAGCTTTGCTGTGGCTGTGCCCCACCAGAGCTGCGGAGGATCCTGTCCTGCACTCAGGGAGGCTCCTCAGGACAGCAGCTTCGTCCCATGGGCTCCTGTGGAGGGAAGTAGAAAAACGAGGCTCAGAAAAGGGATGATGCTGGCGAGCAGCCCTGTATTGGGAGGAAGAGACAGCCCCAGGCTCAGCAGCAGTTACAGCTCAGGGCTGGAGAAAGAGAGGGAGAAAAGCAGCAGGGCTGACCATGAGCTCCAGGGAAGCACTTACCGAAATCTCCGTTAAACACAGCTTTTGCAGCAGTCCTGCCTCTGCCCCAGCCCAGCCGGCGCAGAGGAAC